GAATAAGCTTATAAATTCGCTCACTTATTAAAAAAAACTAGCATACATGAAATAAATAATAATACCCAAAATAATAGAAATAATAATAATAATAATTAACTATGCCATCCCCAAGTCGTAATCTCATTGCCAACCTGGTGTTTGCCGCGCCCTTACGCTCTGCCGAACGGATTCACTTTCGCTGTTCTCCGGAACATTAATTAATTTGCATGGATCTGTAAAAACTCTCTCCTTTCCAAAAATAAGATTTTTATTTAAATGTTAACATTTTTCTATCTAATATAATTTGATCATTAATATCGATCAATATTTACACGTAAATAAATACTATAGAAATAATATGTTTTAAAACTATGTATAAATCAATGTTAATGACACTCATTTGACTCTTAAATTAGGAGACCTATTATTTATAATAATACCTCTCATAAATATGGACTCTTAGTTCAGGAGTGGTCAATTTTGAAAAGTGAGAGTAAAAGATTAGTATTTCAGAAGTTGAGTGAGACAACAAGAGAAAGAAGGCAAGAGATGATATGAGACTAGATCAGATCTTACTCTAATTGATTTCCATTTGGGTTTGCTATCTTTCCTTTACAAAATACTCCCTCCGTCCCACTGTCTTTGTCCACTTTTGACTTTTGGAACTGTTCATCTAAGCACTTTGACTCATCAAATTCTCTCAATGTGTAAGCCTAAATATAGTCATGTGTGATCTTGTTTGATTTGTCTTAACATATAGATTATTAATATATAATTTCTATAATTTTTTAATATACAAATTACAAGATAAAATGGATTAAAGAAGTGCATTGGATGGTGTGCCAAAATGTAAGTGGACAAAGACAGTGGGACGGAGAGAGTATGTTTCAAAATATGGAATGTCCTAAATTGCAAAGTCCCATAAAGTAGTGTGTGTTAGCCCAACACGGAAAGCCCATTTTGATATGTCCTATCCTACCTCACTTTGTGTTTGATCAACTAACCCAATCCAAATATAGCTGGCCCATTGCGATAATCTTATGCCTAAGCCCTTTTCTATAAACTGCTTCAATCACGAGTTTGCCTTTCTAGATAAGGTTAGTAGGGTTCAAAATATCACCATGGTTCCCAATGTCATGGGATGATCCGGGGTGCTCCGGTGCCCCGTTTGTAAAATTAACGGTTCATACTCCTCCTAATCCCTCACCTGTCCCGACCCAAACACGCCCCCCACCCTCTTCAATTGCACTCCTCAAGTTAATTTTGACTTTGCAAATTGAAAAATCTCAACTAGAAAAAATTGCAGAATCGCAAAAAAAAATTGCAGAAAAACCTCACAGAAAAATTTGCAAAAAAATCATCAAAGTAAAATTGAAAAAAATTCAGAACTCTTTGCAAATTGAAAAAATTTGCAGAAACCAAGATTGCAAACTTGTTTCGCACAGGATGGAAAACTTGCTTTTGTAAAGCAAAGAACCTGGCTCTAAACTTGTTTCGCACAGGGGGTGTAATTTTGCAGAAACCATTATTGTAAATTCCTTTTGGAAAAAAGAACTCAAGATTGGAACACTCCTTTCGCACAAACTGGAACAAATAACTCAAAATTAATCTAGGGTTAAAAATTACCGATTTGAGTGCGTTGGACTACGTTCCTGGCTCATTCTTTATCCTAGGGGGAATAGAAGAGGCCTATGAGACGGTGATGGTGAATCTTGACGGATAACAGAGAGAGACGGCGTAATTTTGAGTAATAAGTAAGTAAACATTGAGAGCCATTGGATTAGAAATTAGATGAGATGAATGGTTAGGATTAATCGTGGCCACTAATGCCACTAATTTCCAACTCCTGTTGAGCACTTGAACAAGGAAAATGTTAGGGTGCCACCACAAGGGTGCTATCATGGGTGCACCCATGCTTCACACAGACAATAATTGTCTGTGCGACACAGACAATTATCATCTGTATTTGTCTGTGTGAAGCATGAGTGCACTCATGGTAGCACCCATGTGGTCAGGGGCGGACCTAGGGTTGTGCAAGTGGGGTCACTTGCACCCACTCCAAAAAAAATTATTTATTAGTAGTAGTATGTAATTAGGCATTATATATAGACTAACGGCATCCAAGAAGAGTATATTTATATGTGATTAGGTGCTATTTCTTGAAAACAGAAAACATTTTTATAGTTGTGTAGAACTTTATGTTTTAATTCTTTTAGATTTGGAAAACTAATTAAACTTTCATTTTGAAACCTAATTATAAAATGTTCAATTCTTTTGGAATGTATGAACAAGTTTAATTGTTTTAAAATGATTCCTAAAATATACTTAGTATTTGAAGAAATGTCTAGAATTAGTACTTTAGTTGTTTAGTTTTTTTTCTTTTTTGGTTAAAACAATGAACGTAATATATTTTTTATACAATATTTCAAAAATATTGCATACAACTCACAATATTAATCTCAGAATGCTATTTAATTTATTGATATTTTTTTACCTTTAAGGTTTTAAATTTTTTGTTATACAAATATCAACATTCTGTGCACAAAATGTGAACCCACTCATTGAAATTTCTGAGTCCGCTACTGTGGTGGTACCCTAGCATGGTTCCTTGAACAATGCGTCCTCCGAAGGGCACGCATTTATGAGTTGGGGGAGGAGGGAGTGACATAAATGAAAGTTGGTCATTAATGCATGGATGCACAAAGGAACATAGATTTGGCTAGCTAGTAGGTTGAAGGAATTGATAAGAAGGCACGAAAGTCGAATGGTTCATTCAATATCAAGTTACCAAACATACCTTCTTTGGGGTCTTTTGCTACATCTACTTTTGTTTGGCACATTTAATTTGCTACTTCCCCATCCTAATTAAAATGCAACTCCCTCTCTTTTTAAAGAGTTCCCAATCTTGCAATTTGATAGTATACGGAGTACTTTTTTTAAAATTGAGCTAATATATTACCTCCGGAAAATCTTTTATCAAACATTGGCATTTTTAGATCACAAATCATGAAAAAGGTATGTTTAATTTTAATGTGAATTTAATACAATTAGGTTCATTGCTACATTAAATTTTTATAATATTTATTTATTCAAAGTATGTTTAATTTGTGATTAAAGAATTTCATTACTTAACAAAAAAATCAAAACAGGAAACATTTTTCGATACACTAATAGTATTCATTACTTAATTAGTTTAGAGAAGTCAAATTGCTCAAATGACATATTTTGAATATTTATTTATATACGGAGTATGTCACTAGTTACAATGATTAACATAAAAAGTAAAGCTATTTATGTTAGGCTCAAATCTAGTCTAATGGTCTTAAATGTGATTTTTTAAATATATATCATTTGAATAATATTATTTACGAATTAAAACCTGAAAAATAAATCTCAAATATAAAGAATCTCTTAAGTAATTAAAATTTATTAATAATAGAATTAAGAAAATAAAGTATTACACATGACCATTTTAGAAATTTAATCTGAAGACAAATGGTGTGATAAAGCAAGTAGTATTCCGTATCTTTTAGCATCACGATGTCTTCCATTTTGTGTGTTATATTCTCATTATATTGAGTCATTGTTTTATTTCATACCAACTTACCAAGCAATCATTCTTCATTCGAATAAAGCTGCATACGCGTGTGTACCATGTATTATCACTTCTAAGACTTTTTTAAAGTAGGCCTTACGTAGTTGACAAATGCAAGAAATATCAAGATGAGAAGAATTGAGTTCGATTTCGGGTTATTGCGCTGGGAGATAACTATACTAACCATAAGATCTCTGTAAGTACCAGTTGCAGTCTCTATTTTTTACCACTAATCTGCGATCAAAACTCAGTATTGTCCGGCCGAGTCTACAGGACCCTCTTATCCTTTTTTTCTAAGACTATTTTTAGTGATTCTTTCTTTTCTGTTTTTTCTTCCCTTGTCTTTTTCTTTAATGTTCCGTAGTACATCACTTTCTATCTTAATTTTTCTCACACTATTTTAGTAGTGTCTCACGCTTCCCTTGGGAAAAAAAAGTTAAAGTAGAAGTAAAACATAAAAAATTTATCAAAATAAGAGTTTAATGCTTTTTTATTCCTGGAATGAGAGTTAAAATACATTAACAATATCAGTCATGCCAATGTATAATAACAAAAAATATTGTGAAATGTATATATATATACAATATCACATTATTATAGTGTAAGCTTATATTTTGAAATTTTTTCTTTATTTTACTCATATTTAGAGTAATTTCTTTTTTCCATTCTCTTTTTAGAGGTAGGTTTCATTTCTTATCCTCTTTTTGTCCCTAAAATATCGTCTCATTTCAAGTACAAAATTTTATTTCTTTTAAAATTATTATATTTATAAATTTATACATAATAAAAAAAAGACAGATTACATAAATCAAAACTAGAATCAAAATTTCTATGAAACAAAAAGCGACAAGAACAAATAAGTTTTTTTATTAAATAATCAATGATTTCATTTTCCTTTTGATTTCATTTTTTATTTTCATGGGATTTCGTTTTAGATTTCAGTTTTCCTTTTGATTTTGATTTCTCACCGTTGAAACCGGCACCGGTGTAGTCAACGCAGACTCGAGTCAACTATAAGCTGGAGGAGCTGTGGTGACATTGTTTCAAATATGGTAAGCGGTCATACTACAACTATGTTCTCTTTACCTAATTTGAAAAAGTGATAAGTAATAAGAATACATTAAAAAACATGACCTACTACCTTCTCATTAGGCCATGAGTTATAGCGGGTTTGACGGGGTCTAGATGGGTGTAAACATTTATGATATAGAGTGATAACAAATACATGTTATGGTGGTGGGATTAATAGTGGTAAGATGTGAATGTGTTAAAATTTTAATTAGTTAAAATATTTATACAAAAATATTAAGAAATGAGTAGCCTCACCACGGAGTGATGGCGATTACTTGAAAGAAGACAACGTCCATCTAGAGCAAATGTGTAGTGGAAGAGGGGCGTGATGGAGGGCGGTCAAGCCCCTTCCCAGGTCCAAAATTAAGTTTCGTGTTTAAAAGAAATAGAATATACAAAGTATATACTCCGTATGTAGAATCATTTCATATTTTTATTCTTAAAATCTCAATCACACTATTTTTACAATAAACTTAGGACTCATCCCAAATCCCAAGTGACCAACCCAAATTGGGGATATAGTGAAATGTATTATGTGAAGAGGAAATCATCTTTAATATCTTGTGGCAGAACCATATATTAAAACCATAATAAAACATAAAATAATAATTACTCAACATAACAAATGTGACATGGAAGACGTAAACTCGGGGAGCTTATGAGACAAACCGGGTCGAACCCGCGGTCAATCCTTCTTTTTTCTTGCTTTGAATCGCGCAAGGGTCGACCCGAATGAAACGCGAAAAGGTGGGCTGGGTTTTAGTCCGCAACGGCCCAAGTCATATCGTTCTCAAAGATCCAGTGGCAAACCTCGATTTTGCCGGGACCCGACCCGAGGGAGAGAAAGGCTCCGTGGGTGGGGCTCCAAGATGACGTGTCAATGTGACAGATGGCGACAGCGTGGTTGATCTTGGACCGGGTATTCGGGTCCAAAATATCCGCTTCGTAGACCCGGACTTTGGGGACGGAGTGGCAGTAATACACTAAGGACGGGTACAGGCTTTGGTGGCAGGAGACGGATCTGGTGACTTTTCCACCGTTGATTCCTCTCACCGAATTTACCATTATGTCCCTCTTCGATCCCTCCGTGTTCTCCGTCGTGCGTACGACGACGTTTCGCCCCAGCACGCTCGTCGAAAAGTCGATCATGTCCTCTACCGAGGTCACGCACCGCTTCGTCTCGCCGCGGCTCGGCGCCCGCTCGCACTCCGCCAGCGTGTCCGCGATGATCTTCTCCATGGCGGAGCCGTCGGCGGCGTGGAACAGCCGCTTGAGGTCCCCGATCTTGGCGGCGGAGAACGGGAGCTTTGCCGCGATGACGCGGGGCAAAAACGACCTTTGGGGCATCTTATCCCGAATGTCTGGCATAGGCATTACCGTCCCGTTCTTCAACATCTCCTCGCGGAAGAACTTTCCGGGCTCCACCCAGTGGTTAATTACCTTTTTGCCACTCCCCTCCGCCGCCGCGAGCGCCGCCGTGGACTGGGAGCTCGCGTTCGTGTAACTGGAAAACCCAACCGCCTCCTTCCTCTCGTACTCCTTGAAAGTGTTGTTCACGCCGTAAACGGCGAATCCTGTTTTCCGGGCTCCGTAGCCGGAAAACTTATCCGTACCTACGTTGAACGATTTGCCGTAATTAACGAATTCAGACTCGGCAGAACTGGAACCCTTTCTGTAGGATTGGAAAGAATCGCCCCCGACATTGGCTTGATCTCTGTAGTTCTGAAATGAATCTACGCCGGCGTTACTGCCGGCGCCGTAAGTCTTGAAGTTGTTCTGGGGATTGTTTCCGTTAAATCCGTAATTGGTGAAGGTTTCGTTGTCGACATTAGCGGCCTGGCCGTAGTTGGAGAAAGTGGAACCGACCACATTCGCGTCGGTGCCGTAGCTACCGAATGAATTCTCGGCGCCGTTGCTGTTTTTGGCGTAGTTCTGGAATCCTTGGTCGCCGGCGTTGGCGTTGTCGGCGTACGAAAGGAAATCCTGCTTCCGGCCATTGGCGTTGTCGGAGTAGGAGGTGAATTGCTCGTTGGGGTCGTTGACTTCCTGCGCGTAGGTGGAGAAACCCCCATCACCCCCGGTGGCGCTGGCTCCGTAGGTGTTGAACCTCTGCTCGATCACGTTCCCGCCGGTGGCGTACCTGGAAAACCCTTCGCTGTGCCCGGCGGCGTTCCGGCTGTACCGGCGGAAGGAATTGACCGGCATGTTCTCGCTCTCGGAGTAATTCTTGAACGAGTCAAAGCCTCCGGCCCGACCCGACCCGTAATTGGTGAAGTTCTTGGCACCATATTTGGCGAAGCTCACGTCGGCGTTGTGCTTCTCCAAGCTCGGGCTCAAATCCGGGAAACAGAGGAGATTCCCGGAGGAGCAGAACCCGGCGAGCTGGGCGGCGAGCGCCTCCGGGTCGGCCGCGAGCTTAGAGAACCTGGCATATTGAGCGGCGCTCATGGGGGACGCCTTGTTGAGAAGGAACCATGGCTTGGCCAACCCATTGGAGATCTGGGTCTTCCAGTACCGGATCGCATACGCCTTGGCCGTGAACGGGTTCGATTCGCCGGAATTCCCGCCGCCGACAACCACCTACATTCAAGAACACGCGTTACCGTGATTAGCCCACAGCGCTAAATATGAAATAATTAAGAAATTGTTTCACAGGGAATCTGCACTTACATTGATTGATGGGGGCGAGAAGAAGAATAAGAGGAGGATGAAGGAGAGAAAGGGAGTGGGGGAAGGCATATTGGGAGTGAGGAAGAAGAAGAAGAAGCTGTGAAGATGTTTGGTTTGGATTTAGGAAGGACAAATTATATAGTGGAAGCTTTGAGAGAGAGAGAGAGTAAAGAGTTAAAACAAATGAGAAAAGATTGGGACGAAAAAATCTCATGCTTGTTAAAAAAGAGGATTAAGCTACGTGTATGCCAACACTTATACCTAAATTTATACCATGTGTCCATGTAAGTTTACACTAATCTTTTGTTTTGGTGTAAAATAATTTTTGTTAACGCACCAACATTTGTGGTTGTGTAAATTTTTGTTAACACACCACACCAACACTTGTATCGGTATAAACCATCAAAATGTTTATACAAAACTGTGGTGTACAAGTGTGGTACATTTTTTGGTGTAAGTGTAGCATGATCCTAAAAAAGACCACTCGTGCAAAAAGGTTATTATTATTCACTCCCCGTAAAAATATATTTAATTACAATATGAATTAAATATATTTCTTCGTTCCTAATTTGATTGCAATTTTTTTTATTCTCGATAACTTTTATTTGTTTATGTGATTTCATTAAATATTTAATAAAATATTCTTATCACCTCTTATTTTGTAGAACTTTTGATGTTGTTTTTTAATATGTGATTTTTATTTCTTATCGATATATGAATTTGTAAATAAAATAATTTCAAAAAGTGAAATATTTTTTCTTGTAAAACCTAATTTGTAATCAAATTGGGGAGAGAGAAAATAATTGATTTCATCTTAGAATATAATTTTGATATATCTAATCTAATCATTGGTGAAATAAAATTTATATTAAATATTGATACAAAAATAATTTTTTTAGATTTACTTGTAAAAGATATTCAACAATTTGTTTTATCAAATCAATATTCTATGTAATTTTTATTTAATTACTTCATAATTGTCAAACACTAATCTTTTTTTCTACAAAAAAAATTGAAACTCGACAAAGAGCTCTAGCACGAATGGAGTAAAATTTATTGCACTCATATTCTCTTGACTTGGTAAATGTACAATGTTATAACCACCAAAACTACCTTTTTATTTCAAGTAAAAGTGAAATGAAATAAATAAATAAATCACACATAACTCATGTTAACAAAAAAGACACCATTAACAAAATATTAGTTCGTAAATATGTCTATTTAATTATTGTTTAGAGTTTAGACCCAAGAGTAAGTAATATCTCTAAGTTTGGTTCATCATATCCAATTGCCAATAGCCAAATACTGACACACCTAACTTTTGTTTTTGTCTAGTACAGTTCTTTTACAAAACATATACCTCAATCAATAGTCCATTAACCAGTGATTTCAAAGAGGTTTTAAATAGATGCTTTATTAGGAAATTTCAACTGTTCCAAGTTCACTTTTTTCCTTTGCTTTATTCCATCTATCTAAAAAAATACACATGACTATGCTGGGGTGAGTGTATTTATCCACTTTGATTCAAACAAACATTGAATTTTAATTAATCTCAATTTATATTGCACATTAATATAATAAAATAAAATTTTGAAAGTTTTTTATAAGATAAATCTCATAAAATCTTTTTTATACTAATATAAATTGCAACTTTTGTTTAATTGAAATACAAAGTTTATCTTATTTGATTTTAAAAAACAAACTAAACAAATATATAGGGACAAAGGAAGTATCTATTTTCTTTTTCAAAAGACCTAAAAATAGTCCTCGTTTTTTTTGTTTTGGTGAGAAATATGTAGCTCACAACCAAAGATCATATAATGGAACGACAAAAAAGTGGTTCTTCCAGATAAGAGGTCGCATGTACGAATCCGAGCGTCTATTCTCTAGATGTCAGTAGGATAAGATATTATGTACAAAGCATAAATAAATACTATTAACTACATTGTGTAATTAAGCCAATATTACTCGAAAAAAATACCTATTACAACTCACAAAATTTCTTTTGCATCTAAACAAATACTGTAATAATAAACACTTTTTTACTTATCAATATTTTTTAAAGCGTAACAAATATCAAACTGAGAAACAATTTTTGGGATGAAAACTCACGGAATTGAAAAAATGGATTTGACAATGCGAGGTTGGGTGAGGCAACATACGTTGAGCCCGAGGTCTTAAATCAAATACTAACAGTGACAATATGAGAGTTTTATTTAGAATAATGTTAAGAGTACACCAACATTTTATCTCATTTGTACACCACTAGTCCCTCCACCACACCTTTATCCTCTCTCCACTCTTGTTATCAAGATCAAAGCGTGTGTGGAGCATAAGGAGATTAGTGGTGTACAAATGAGGTACATTTTTTAGTGTACCCGTAATATTTTTGTTTTACTTCATATCTAGAGAGTGTTTGGGAGTATGGTGAGTTATGTAAAAGTAGAAGTCATAATTTAGAAGCATGAATCATGTATTTGTAGCTTTGCTAGAAAACACTTCTAGACCTTAATTTTAACTTCTAAAGCCATAATTTATAAGCTAAAACAGATCAGTAAACATTTAAAATTGTGTTTTAATAAAGTAGAAGCTATAAGTTATTTTCAAATGCAATCTCAAACACCCTCTTAATATGATAGCTCGTTGTACTACCAATCACAATAAGACGTTATAAAAAACTCGATTAAAACTATACTGTAATTTATCTTATCACTCTATCGGGCCGGGGTGTGGGGCACCTGGCCTGGGTAGCCTTCCATCCACTATAAAATGTGAAAAAATGAGCAGAAGATGGACAAGGACAACTTAGGTGGGTTATTCCTGTTTTTGTAGGTTTACTTGGTATGCTTAGGCAAGGGACAAAAGGCTAAGGTTGATGTTTGGCTGGTCGTAAATTGGGGAATATGAAATATGGGATTTTATTTTTGAAGACATCAACAATAAATGTTACTTTAAACTATTTATAATTAATGATAAGTGATGGGTAATAATCCATGGATTCTACCTAGTAGGTTCATACCGATCGCGAGGTATCAAATCTGATGCCCTATGACCTGGTCGACCCGGGCAGTCTGACCGGTCAGGGGTGAGAGGATTCAGAATCACAGACATGGCTACATCTGACAAAGGCATGCAAGCTGACCGGTTGAGGACTGACCGACCGGAGAAGCAGAGACGTGCTTGACGTGCTTAGTCATTATTATAAATAAGACTAAAAGCCTCATTTGTGAGGCATGCTTTAATTAACCTAAACGGCTTGCACTTTGTAAACAGTCCTACTGTCATTAATAACATACCAGGTTACAGGTGTTCCTACCTACAGCCCTTCCGTTTATCTGTACTTTATATTTGCATGGTATTTACACCATCAAACTGGCGCCACTCGTGGGACCTTTTTACAAAAAGCCATGACAAACAACCAAGAGACCGTTGTTTCACAAATCTCCACCCCGGCCGAGAACGTTACGTTACTCCTGGGAGGAAATACCCTGCCCCCGCCCACTACACCAATCCCAACACCTGCCCCGTTCACTTCACCGTTAACTTTAAATATATATTCCATTCATCCCTAAAAGATAACCATCATTTGACTTTATTGGTCAAACGGTAATTTTCTTTGACCACAAATTAAATAATAGTTTAAATAAATAAATATTATAAAAATTTAATATTTAAAATTATATTTTAAAATAAACTTAATTTTACTTAATTCATATTCTAACTAAATATATTTTTTATATAATTTAAAGTCAAAAGGTACCACAAATGAACAAAATAAGGATAAATGTTTAAGGACGGAGAAAGTATATTTTATTTTTATACCAATTTTAATATATACTCCGTAATAAATTGAAAATACATTTTTTTTTTCGTTTTGGGAAGAGTGTGGTGGGGTGGAGGAAACGCGTTATAATGCCTCCACTTTATTTTGTTCTTTTCTTCTCAATGTGCTAAGCTTTGGATTCCTCAACCTCACCTGTCTCTGCTTTATCAGATCATTTTAATTTTTGAAGTCAAAACAAAACAGATAAAATTACTCTGTAAAGTTATTGTTAATAATGTAACACGGTTAATAGCTAGTTCATAAATTTATATTTACCTGATTGTTTGTGATTTTGTCTAACATGTCTGATTTTAAAACAAACTATCACTCGGGGTATTCTAAAAAAAACGTTATCTTAGAAAAATGGGTTAAATAGATAGTTAAACAATTACTTTTAGGCTTAATTCTCAATAAGGTTTACTAATGGGTTGACCGTTACTAAAGTAAACAAGCATAAGAGTTTTGTGGAGCACTTATGGGGTAAGTTTTCCATACGTGTATTGGTGTTGTTCGTCTGACTCGCCACGACACATGTGTGCGATGCACTTATTGGGTGTTAAGATGAATTGTCTCAGCATCTCGGCCTCATATTTGTTACCACTTCTCGAAGGCGTTGTTATGAAATCACACAAGTCAGTGTGGAATAGATATAATGGTTGAGTTGTTCGTTCAATTGTTTGAAAGTATTCCTTATTGACATTACCTCAACTCATGTCTCATGTGTTTATGGGATGATTCTATGTCAAACATAATGACATATTCAATGTTAATTAATTTCCATATATGTATGTATATATATATATATATATATATATATATATATATATATATATATATATATATATATATATATATAATCAACAGGTATTATTGCGTCATGTCACAAATTGAAAAACTTACACACATGGGTAATTAGAAGAGTTTTGTAAGCTTTCTCAACAACAGTAAGGGCATTAATAAGTTAAAAAAACCAAACACTGACATAACCTTTGCATATTAAGACTTCATGCTTAAGATAAGCTATTTAGACTCGAACACCATGCAGAAGCCATGTTTATTCTGAAGTACACATGACACCAGAATCACATGCATGTTTGGCACATAAAGCACGTTCAACATGAGGATATTGCCAAATGTCATCATGAGCTTTGTTGGGTTATGGTACCCGGGGCCTAGGAGACTAGGCGAAAGAGTATCAAACGAGAGTCGAGAATATTATGTTGGAAATTTTAAAGTAAATTGGACATTTTCGGACATAAATTCGGTTGGGTCCA